TTAAAAAAAAAAAATCTCAAAAATGGTTTTTTTAAAATTTTTATACATGGAACGTTATCTCATTTATTTGTAAACACATTTATCAGCTGCTTATTTTGTGCATTGCAAATACGGTGACTTACAAAAATATATGTGCAACTTGTCAGAACTACACCCACCACCTATTTCATAGGGTACATTAACACAGGATAAATAATAGTTAAATTATAGGTTGCTGTGCTTTAAAAACATTTAGACATAATTTTTAAAATATTCAAAAATACATTGAAGAATGTAACATAGTCTTGACTAAGCAGCTCTTGGGCCTATCATTTTTACATTTCTTTACATTTTACATTTCTTTGGTTATATTGATGAGATATAGGACCAGTCACTTAACTCTATTCTTTTAGGTTTCTTCAAAGTCATTAATTATGGCGAAATTTATTTTGGTGAATATAAATGTTTAAGGAAAGTAAGTTTAAGGTTGTTTCTTGAAAACTTTTAAAATTGTGAGATAAAACATAGAAAAGTACATAAAATATGAATGTGTAGATTAATAAAGTGAATCCCAACACACAGGTCCCAAATAGACTATTCTCAGCACTAGAGAGGGTTCCATATAGCCCCTCTCTTTCACAAGCTCCTTTCTCTTCCCCATGGCAGCCACTGCCTGGTTTTTATGGTAATCATGTCTGTGGTGGTTTGTGTCTTGTTGTTGACATCATTAAATACTAGTTTCAGTTTTACTTGGCTTTCATTCAAGTCGTGATTGTAAGATTTATGCCAATTGTTTCATGTACCTATAGTTCATTCATTTTCATTGTTCTAAAGCAGCACTGCCCAAAAGAACCATAATATGAGCCGCATGTATAGTTTAAAATGTTCCCGTAGCCTATTTAAAAAGAAACAAGTAAATTAATGTTTTATTTATCTGAGTATTCATAAATAACAATTCAACAAAAAGTTGACATATTTTACTCTTTTTTCATAGTAAGTCTTTGAAGTCTGCTGTCTGTCTTATACTTAGAGTATATCTCAAACCACAGCATCATCACAATGCAAGGGCTTAATAGCCACATGTGGCTAGCTATTAACATTGATGTACCTTATCGTACAGTACAACTCCAGAATATTCTAGTGGTGAGAATATCACTGTTTGTCCGTTCCACTGTTTTTGGATCTTGTTTTGAATAGAGTTATTGCAGGCATTATTTTACAAATTTGGTGCTGTAAGGTACTTTTAAAATGGTTTTTATGTCAGAGGAACATCCATATAGCCATATTTTTTCTAGTACTCCCCATTTTAGGCTCAGCCTTATTAACGTGTGTAAAGCATTTTAGTTAGTAAAGTCTGCCATTGTTAAATAACAGTATTATAAACAACTGTGGCACTGAAGTACTTTTGACCCACCAAAAGCACATGCACTTAAGGACTTTTTCAAGTAATATTCTGCTCTGTCTTATCTCCTGCCTCAGTCTTTTGCTTTTTGAAAATTCAGGCTAGTTTACAGTCATCTCAGAGATTTCTAAGGAGCCTGTGGCTTCTTATTAAATTATTCAGTGGAAGTGGAATAGCATATACCATTTCTTCAAACGTTTATATGTTTTCTTTCTTTTTTTTTTTTCCCCTGAATTTATATATTGCATTAGGGTTACATTATTCTCTGAGTTTTAGTTTATCCAGAGGTCCACATCAACAATCAGTTGTTTGTTCTGCATGTGTCTTCCTTATTTTGAAGAACAGCAGCGTCCAGAATTTCTTATCTACAGCTTCAGAAATTCACTTCCATGTTGAAATAGTAAGACTGACAAATCAATGTCATCTAAAGTTGGATGCGAGAAGGTGTTCATGTGACATTGTATTTCTTTCACAGTTTCTAAAATTAGAAGAAAAAGTTATCTAAGGAAAAGGCAAGGACAGAATGCAGGTTAGCTTTAGGCTTAATGTGATTTTCAAATAACTTTTGTATGAGAGCAACTTCACAAGAGCAGTGAACTTGAATGGTTTATCCCACCAGCTTTCTGGTCATTTAATTTATCACCAGATTTGCTCCCAGCCTGGAAATGGGCCAATTACATGAGCCACTTCCTGCCTTCCATCATAGTGTAACAAGTGGTAAAAGTAGAGAGGTAGGAAGCAGGTCATGACCTTAAGTAACAAAATGGGGAGTCTGCTCCTTGGAGGGTCTTATTTTAACTCTTAGACTGATGACTTACTAGAGGGTAGGATTAAAAATATTCTTCAGTTATTTGACCATATGATCCCACCTGAGTCCAAACACCCCCAAAGCATTCTCCATACTGTAAAAGCAGTACTTTTTAGTATGATCTTTTGGTTGTGTTTTTGCTTTGAGAAGGAAGATGTCTTGAACACAAAGATTGGTAAGAGGTAAGTTTTATTTTAAGGAGAAGCATCACTTTTACTTGGCTAGATAAATAGAGTCAGGATAGGATTTAGATTCAGTTATCTTAAAGGGTATCTTAAAGCCAAAGAACTTAAGCTTATCCAAGGCCTTTTTAGAAGAAAATCATTAATTTGTAAGTAGTTAACAAACTACATTGATAGTTGGATATTTGTTTTACTTGTGAATGTATCCTAATACTTCTTTTTTTTTTTTTTTTAAGATTTTATTTATTTATTTGACAGACAGAGATCACAAGTAGGCAGAGAGGCAGGCAGAGAGAGAGGTGGAGGCAGGCTCCCTGCGGATCAGAGAGCCAGACGCTGGGCTCGATCCCAGGACCCTGGGATCATGACCTGAGCTGAAGGCAGAGGCTTAACCCACTGAGCCACCCAGGCGCCCCTATATCCTAATACTTCTTAAAATTCTGTTGGTTGCTTTTCCTTTTTACAGTTGACCCTTGAACAACATGGATTTGAACTGCACAAGTCCACTTACACCCCCCCCCCCCCCAGTAAATATATGTATCATACTGTAAATGTATTTTCTGTTAAAATTTTCTTTTCTCTGGCTTACTTTATGGTAAGGGTATAGTATATAATACATATATAAAAATGCATGTTGATACTGTTGACATTATTGGTAAGGCATCTAGTCAACAGTAGGCTGTTAGTTAGATTTTGGGGCAAAGGCTATATGTGGATTTTTGACAGCATGGGGGGTTGGCACTGTAGGGTTACTGTATTTTGAAATATTTTATTTTTATAAGAATTTTATCCTGAGGAATTAAAAGCTTTTTCAAGACAATATCAGGCACATTATTCCTAATAATTTCCTTATCAGCTTGGTATTACAAATTTATAATTGTAGTAGTTTCAAGAGAAAGAAACTGAGGAAAAGGGGTTAGTGATATCCAAGGTCACAGATTTAGCGAAGATAGTTGAAATACAGCCTTAGTTATTGTAGTAGTTAAGTCCTTTTTAGTAGCCTTTTTTTTACATTTCTTTGTGTTTTCATAAAATTTCCCTCACATGATTTTGATTAGATTATAAAACTAACTACTACAGGCTAAATAGTGGCTGTAAGATAGTTGATGTTAATGGCCCTCCAAGGAGATTGCTGGTTGTAGTTCTGCGTTGTTGTTTTTTTTTCCCCCAGCAAAATTGTTTGCTTTCAGTTTTATATTCTAATAAAACTTCCCAGTTTCCACAGTCTTAAAAAAGATGCTGGTGTCTTTGCTAAGTACTTTTCTAGAAATTTACTGATTTCCACGTGCTAGTCTACCCTCTTAGTTAACCCTGCCTCT